CTATCTCCCCCCTCCCAGCAGTGCAGCAGAATAGGGAATGGGGGTTGTAGTCAGTTTACCACACAGTCTCTGCCACTCCTTCCTCCTCAAGGGGAGGACTCCTCACACCATTCCCTCACTCCAGCATGAGTTCTCTCCCATGGGAGATGGGCTTTCATGAACTTCTCCAATGCAAGGCTTTCCCACAGCCTGCAGTTCTTCATTAACTGCTCCAGCATGGGTCCACCACAGGGCCACAGCAAACCTGCTGCAGCATGGGCTCCTCTCTGCACGGGGCCACAGGTCCTGCAAGTAGCCTGCTCTAGGCTTCCCACAGAGTCACAGCCTCCTTTGGGCATTCAAATACTCTGGCATGTGGTCCTCCATGGGCTGCAGGTGCCTATCTGCTCCACCATTAACCTCCACAGGTTGCACAGACAGCCTGCCTCACCATGGTCTTCACCATGGGCTGCAGGGGAATCTCTGATCCAGAGGCTGAAGCACCTCCTCCCTCTCCTTCACCAACCTTGGTCTCTGCAGAGTTGTCTCCCCTATTCTCACTCTCTCTCCAGCTGCAGTTGCTATTGCACGGCAACTTTTTCTCCTTCTTAAATACATTATCCCAGAGGTCTTACCACCATCTTAATGGCCTCAGCCTTGGTCAATGGCAGGTCCGTTTTTGAGCTGGCTGGCAGTGGTTCTATCAAACCAGAGGAAGCTCTCAGGAGCTTCTCACAGAAGCCATCCCTTTGGCTCCACCACTATGAAACCCTTGCCACACAAACCAAATACAGTCTGCTCATCTCCAGCTTAACTGCAGCAGGTGCTCATGCCTGGCCATAGACCACATCAATCCAGACCAAACCCACAAACAGGAAGCCAGGCAACCTGGTACTATTAAAAGGACACAGGCTACTCCAGCCAGTCTGTGACACCAGCAGAGACAATCTTCCAACACACACCTCCTTCAGCACAGGTCAGTGTGTACAACAGAAAAGCAAATTATTTAGGTTGTCACCAGTCTCATGCATTTCACCTACTTCAGTATTCCAATCTATACAACACCAACAGCAGCTCCATATAAACCCCAGTGGTGTGGAAGGACACAACAAGAAGCACCTCATTGCTGCACAACACTGTACTTACAACATAAAGTCCTGTTCCCAGCAGGGCTGGTCACCTCGCACAGCTACTGTCGTGCTCTTCACATTTTGAACCTTCAAGGTCACATATGTATTGAATTTATCTGGGGAACAAGAGGCAAAAAGTTATCTCCTTCAGTACATCCTTTCATCGTACAAGGGTTAACATTTCAAAGTTTTCAATTTATATCTTGCACCCCAGGGGGGACCCAAAGCAAAAAGCCCATTTTGGAAGACATCACTGGGATAAGGAGCCAAATGTTCAAGACATTTTTCACCTGCAATCAAATTTTAATTCACAGGTTTTCAGGAATTCATCAACAAACAAAAACAGGCAACTAAGCACTCGCAATAAGTCAGGGACAAAGTGTGAAATCCTGAAGAACACAGACACTTTGTAAGATGTTGCTTACTGGAATGCAGATGAGAGGAAGAGAAGAGAGCCTGAAGGAACAGGGCCCACCATGCAGTGTAAAAGACAAACTTGCAAAACATACAATCAAGAGGCAATTGGACTGATCATATTATCTCCTCCCTTCTCATCCAACTGCTCTCCTAGTTCCAACCTGGTTTTCCACCCACAAGTATACAAAGAACCAGACCAGTTTGGGACAGAAATAAAACAGTAATTTTCACTAAATGAGCTGTATTGCACAAGCCAGCTAACCAAAACCAACACATTACACTGACATTTGATAAGACAGGCTTTGTTAAGATGTTTTGGTTTTTATTTAAGTCTGAAAAAAAAGCCTGGAATGACATTTTTCCTAGTTGCTGCTCTTTGCTAATAAAACCAAAGGTAGCCAAGCACAGACACATACAAAGTTTTAATATTAGCATCTGAAAATGAACAAACTCCCTTTTAAGGGGCGTTACCACCTCAGACCTGTCTATCAGTTTCATCAAGTCTGGAACAAGACAAATGCTAAGCATCTAGAAAGCAGTGTATGTATTTTAATACTTCAGTGTTCTGCTGCATTTATTCCCAGCAGAAGTTAGATCATGGTCCATTTCAATACTGCCAAAAGCTATATGCATCCTTGCTGTGGGCTACTATAGCATGTCCCAGCATTTAGCTTCATTACCCTAACAGAAAGGGAGGAAAGGGAAACTACATGATCCAGAAGTTCAGGAAGAAGCGGAGAAGTCAGATTCCCTCGTGCTCAAGTTCCACCACTTGCATTATCCAAGGACATCAGGCTTGTTAATAAAACCATATACTTCACTTAAGTCAAATCTGTATTACTGGACAAATACATTGCAGCCATGAACAGGCTTCTTGATTACAGAGGGGGTAAAATACACTTAAACTCCCTTCCAGACTGGCTACTCAAACCTTCCTTCCCTGGTAATTCAAGATTGATCCACACACAGATCTTGACCTGGCACAGAGTATGGACAAGGAGACCTGGAGAACTTTCAGCTATAACCTGAGGATGGCTGTATGAAGACAATAAAGCTGAACAACTAAGTCATGAATATGGGTAAGTTATTGCTCCAGCTCTAAACACTTCACTAGGTGTTATTCCAGAAGAAAACTGCTTATTCTTTTGTAAACTGTGCATCAAGTTTCATTAAATAAATTTTCTATTTTCTTGCTAAGGAATTCCTTGCTACCTACTGAACCACTGTGAAACAGTTACCTACACTGTAAACTGAGTGTCACCAGCTCTGTTTATATTTTACATTGCAGACACAAAATCTGGCAGATGGGATTTCAATCCCAAGCACAGCCATTATGGAATGCCACATAACACGATGAATCACTTCTGTGGTACCATCCAGCAACAACAATCAGGATCAAGGAGGCACTGAACTCATACAGACACACACCAGTTCTGCTCAGTGGACGTTTTCAGATCCTATTTTTAACAGTGACAGAGAAATGATGAGAGAAAAGGACAGGGTGGGGTTGAAAGGGATGACAGCAGAGGAACATCTTTCCTCATCCATCATCTGTTCAGATCAGGTAAGCAAGTAGAAGTTTCTCAGCACTATGACACCAAGTCACACCCTCAAGCCTTCTACTAACTCAGGCTGCCTGGACTCTGGAGGCAGCTTTTGTCACTTCTAAGAAGAACATGCAGGAGCATAGAGCAGGTAGATAAAAACTAGAGAGAGGAGCATGAGCCAGGAGTGAGAGAGCAGGTGTCACCATTGCTGCAAACAAGCAGCAGAGAATGGCTTACCTGGTGGTCCTTGGAGTTTAGCTTTTTTTACTGTAAAGAGAAAAAAAAAAGCAAAAAAAAAGCTGTTAGTGATTTTGTTCTCCTACAGTTTCATTTGAGTCAAAGAATCATGAAGCTGTAAATCCTCATTCATTCCAACAGCTTAGCAAACTTGGAGGCAAAACCTCTTCCGTATTCTTTATCCCCCTCTAAATCAATGCATTTTAAAAAAAATAATCACAGGTTTAATAATGAGAAAGCAACATGATATGGCTAACAAAAAGAGATTTCAAAACCAGTCCTTTGCAACCAGAGGTTATTGCTGCTTAGTAAGACGTTATTTCAAACCACCTCACTGACAAAGTTACAGGCACTTTAGAAGAAATAAACATTTATTTAGAAACAAAGAATCTCTCCTTAACAGTGTAGAGGAGACTTTCAACCACAAGTTGAAAATAATCAAGCCTGAATAACAGATCTATAGTATATCTGTAAATCAGATTAACTAGCTATGACAAACAAGCAGCAGACTAAACTCGAATGTCACTTTTCCAAGCTCTCATCTGCTAATTTAATTCCAGGACATTACTTAACAAAAACAATGGTTAGAACATAAAACAGCACTGGCTTTTATCTCACCCGATGGAAAAGATCGATGTCTACCTTGGGGAGATTACGTTGACATTTCTTTTTGGCAAGCTCATATCCTCACTGGTATTAAGTAGAAGCATTAACAGAAGACGTATTTAGGCTTCAGCTAGTTTTCCCAGTAGAAAACTAACAGTAGGGAGAAAACACGTTTAGGAAGCAAGATACACCTAAGAGCAAAAAGCTTTGAAAACTGGCATATTGAAGTTACCTCCAGACAGGGTACCCAACACTTACTAAAGGCTCACAGATACTGACTTCCAAGATAAATGTTCTAGAAAAGAACACTAAAAATTAAAATAAAATAAAATTCCTTACACAGCTACATGCACAGAGGTGCACTGCAGTGTGATACCAGAGGCATCTCAAACAGAAGTTAGAAGAGCTGTAGCTTTTACCTACTCTGCCATGGCCCAAGAACCTTTAGGTCCAATATAAATAAAAGCTTAATTTTCTCACAGATTCAGGGCCTGTGAGAAATGCCTGAAGCATTCCTGATGCTAAATGTAATGATGCAAGCAAAACATGCAATGGTGGGGACCAGTGTTCCTGCT